TAGAACAGGTCCCGCCTGGGCAGGTTCCGGATGAAGCTGTTGTAGCGGTAATGCACGGAGCCCAGGTACCTGGCCACGAGGTGGTAACCCAGCAGGATGACCAGGAAGTGCATGTAGCCCAGCCAGGGGGAGAGAGGAATAGGTTGTAGGACAGCAGCTTCAGGAAGACCCACAACACGGTGCTTAAGTAATGCTGTGCCCCTGACACCACGATCTTCACAGGCTGGGGGGCTGGGAATTGTAGTGACGGTATCTCTACATCCATGAAATGATGGTGCTGAAGGCTGCCTGGACCTCAGCCTTGGAGCAGGTGCACACCCCGGGCAGCATGTGTTGCTGCTGGACTCAGACGGGAACTGCCCCTGCCAGTCAGGGGCGTTGAGGAGGAGGATGTTCTAGGGCAGCTGGCTGTCAGAGATGAGGAAGTGGTTCAGCTGGTCATATACCGTCTCCCTGGGGATCTGCAGCTGGCTCAGGGCGTCTGGGCAGTGCTTGTTGTCCAGGCTGTTGGCCCGCTTGTTTCTGGCTCTGCCACCTGCCGCTCCTTCAGGGATGTGCTCCAGGCCAAGCGGCCCACCTGCTCCCCCTGGGATCTGGTGGAGGCGATGAGGAGAGACTTGGTCTTGGTGATGCGCCCACTGGTGGCTTTGGGCTCATCTTCTCTGTCACATGGGTTGGACCTGGAGGCTCCTCCTGGCGCTGACACTGTGAGTGCTCTAGCATTCCATCTGAGAGCTGGGCTGGGACAGGTCTTCCAAGTATGGCCTGAGCCAGGGCTTCGGGGTCCTGAGGACACTCTCATGGGCCACTGTCACGGTTCTCTAGTGAGTCACACAGCAAATCTAGGTCCTCCTCCACCTCAGGCACATGCTATGAAGACTCCTGCTCTGAATCCAGGACCTCCTCCCACTCTTGCACCCTGTACAGCCACGCCCCAACTTTCTTGTTGGCATCTTGTTGCCTGGTCATGAGTGGCGATCTTACTACACTTTGGTGCTGCTTTTTGGGATCCTCTAAGTCGAAGTCCTCCTCCTCTTGGTCCTGCCCATGCCCGGGATGATAGCTGCCCTGCTGATCCGAGAATATTTCATACTCTATCTCTGAGTAATGAACCAGGGACTTGGACTTGGGGCCAGCCTTTTGGGTGCTGTCCTTGGGGTCTATGGGCTGGCTGGACAGGGAGGAGATGCTGACCTCAGCCATGTGGGCAGATTCCTCCATGTTGGTGCTATGGAGTCTCAGCATCTGGCCACCCTCAAGGGGTCGCTGCATCACCTCAGCCATGTCGATGGTGCCCATGGCGAGTGTCCGGTAACCCAGGATGGTCTGTTTGTTAAAGCGCTGCTTCTGCTGAAGCAAGATCTGCAGCTGCTTGCCTTCTCTCTTGAGGTAGTGAGGATACAGCAGGATGGTCAGCACCAGGTCGGTCTTCACTTGACCACTAGGGGGCAGCAGAAGCTCATCAGACCTCAAGATGTTTGTGGAGGCCTGCATTTTAGTAGTGACCACCACAGCGCTGAGCTTCTTCTCCAGCTTCTTGTAGATGAGCAGCTTGGTTAAGGTGAGGCTACATAGCCTGGGCACGCAGGTGGGGCTGGAGCATTCCACCTCCCATGTGGAAAACAAATTCATGGGCATCTGTGTGTTGAATGCAGCGGGCATGCTGTCCAAGCCCGCAGCTGTGGAGGTGGTGGTCTGATTTCTATCCTGTGTTGGGAGAGAGACTCATGCCATCAGAAGCAGCTCATAAACTGCCAGGTAGGCTGGGGGCTCCAGCTCAGACTGAGTCCCAAGCACTCAGTGATTGGTGGCAAGAGATGGGACAGGATTGATCCCAGGGACCAGATGCTAAACTGGCGGTCTTGCCAACTCAGAGAACTAAAGTAACCACAAAGAATGGTCTGAAATTAAAGTGTGGTGTTTGTTTTGTTTTGTTTTTTAGCTAAAAGCAGCTTATGGTGGGTACTGGTGTCCTAGGCCAGTGGTCGGCAAACTGCGGCTCGCGAGCCACACGTAGCTCTTTGGCACCTTGAGTGTGGCTCTCCCTAAGTCTTAGGAGTACCCTAATTAAGTTAATAACAATTTACCTACCTATATAGTTTAAGTTTATAAAATTTGGCTCTCAAAAGAAATTTAAATCGTTGAACTGTTGATATTTGGCTCTGTTTACTAATGAGTTTGCCGACAACAGTCCTAGGCTGTCATCTTCCCTGAAATAAAGTCAATCTTTATCTTAACTGAGCCTGTCTATTGTCTTGTTGCATCTATGACAACATATTTTTGGAATGTCAAAGAAATTTTCCTTTTTATTTAGACACTCGGAGCACAGGCACTGCTCTGCTCTCTGCAGAGACCACACATCCCCTCATTGTTATTGAGTTCATTGTTGACTGTTTACTGACCTATACACACCTAAGTGAAAGAAGTGCATGTCTATCATTTTACCTTATTTCCAGGCCCAGAGATTTCCCTGCTGTGCTTTCTCCTGCTTCCCTCATCTATCAACAATGAATTTCATGAAACCACACAAGTCTCCACTTTTGATTGTAATGTATAGAATGAAGTGCAAAGCTGCCATTCTCCGGGGCATTGCTACCTCATTCGGTTGAGATTTTGCTTCACCGCAATTGTCTACACTTTGGCTCAAATAAATTCACAAAAATTCTGCACAGGTTTCCACGTTTTCTACATGGACAAGAGAAAAGGTTCTCGAAAGGCAACATAGACTTGGAGGTGAGTTATGATGAGAGACACTGGTATCTTAGTCATTTCTTAGCAGAGGATGGACAGCACCTCCCTGTGTTAACAAGGTCACCCTGGGATTTCTGACAGAACATCCCATTCTAAGATGGGAACACAGAGGGTTCCTGGGGTGGAAGGGTCTGAATATTAGGACAAGTGGGGTGTTCAGGCAGCACCGTTGACAAGACAACAGGAGGGGGTCACGTGCAGGTCCCATAGAAATGAACAGCTGCATAGCCAGCCATAATAACAGTTCCCCCCTTTGGTATGATGTACATCCCAGAGAAGCCCCAGCTCCTGACCTGGAGGGGCCACAGGGATGTGGTCCTCAGGGCAGCAAAGGGCAAAGCAACAGACTTGGTACCTTGAGCCCCATGTCCTTTCGGGAAAAGCATCCCCAGTAATCACAATGATGTGTAAGAGTGGGAGAAGGTGTGTAAGGCTTGTCAGGCCGACGTGGACACTTGGAGATGGGCATTAAAAAGGGAAAATCTGTAGAAAAATGCAAAAAACACTCTTGACTGAACATGATGGGAAATGGTACAAAGTCTCTCTTCGGATATTCCTAAATCTTTGTGGGCAGTGACTTTGCATCTCATCTGAAAGGGGCTGGACAGTAAGAGTGGGTTGTGGGGAGGATACGGGCCCCAGATTCCTTTGGAAATTGGACTCTAGGAGGTACCGAGGGGAGTAGAAGGGCAGCTTCTGGAACCTCGGGCTCCCGTTGACTACATGGGACCCTGGAGTCTGGGTCACCTCAGCACCTGCACTCACCCTGCGGCCATGCTGCACACTGGAAGATGTATGGGCACCTGTGCCTCCTCCAGGGGCATGGAGTAGAGGACCCCATCAGTCAGCTCCTCTCTGTTCTCCTGTGTGGAGCTCAGGACTGGGAACAATAAAGAGAGTTCCCAGTCACCAGGAGGAAGCCCTCAGAGCCCCGTTTTGCTGGTTCTCTACCCCTGTAATCCTCCACTCCAGACACACACACACACACAGTGTGATCTGCTGAGACCTCCACTGCAGAGGAAAAGGTATGACAGCCTGAGGGCTAGGATTCCCATTGGCATAGATAAGGGACCCCTCTGGAACCCCATTTCCACCTGCTGGCCCTGTCCTGGGGTCTGATCACAGCAAGACCTCTAGGGGATCCACTGCCCAGAAAGCTGTTCCTGCCCCAGGGTTCTCCCTACAGGTCCCTCTTTGCAACACATGAAGGGGAGGGGATGCGGGCTGCACAGGGAGCAGGGTGGGGGGGATGTGGGGAGGGGGGTAAATAAGGGTGTGAATACCAGGAGGCACAGACAATGGGAGCTGGACAAAGGGTGCCATCCTGTGGGAACTAAAAACCATCGTTCCCCAAGGTGTGCAAAAGCCACTGACAAGTTTTAAGCAGTAAAGTGCCGTTATGTTCTTGCTTTAGGATGGTCACTGGCCGCAAAGGGTGGAGAACAGATTGGTGTAAAGCAACGCTGAGTGAGTCAGAGAAATCAGTTGGGAGGCTGACCTTAACCCTAGTGAAAGGGCGGTGGCCAAAACGAAGGGAAAGCCAGTGGCAAGAGAGAGATGGACACGTGGGAGAGTTCTTTACGAAATAAGAAACAGGACTGGGCGGTAACCGCAGTGGGAGAAGAGCTGAGGATATTCTCACTCCTGCTTCTGCAAATGGGCGTGTGAAGAGGAGGCAGCTGAAACACTGAGTCGGGGTGGGTAGGTGAGGAGAGACTACCCATGCTTTGAGGGAACCGCCTCTTCTGACAAAGTTGATGTTACGCTTGCTTACAAGGACATGTTGCTCAGATTTACTGGGACTGTCTGAACACTTCCCACTTCTCTCCCTCACTGGTGCATTTTCAGTGTTACGAGTCGTCTATGGAGGCACGAACATCGGTGTCCCTGTACACCCCACTGTTCCTAAAAGTACACCTTTCGTGTTATTTGAAGGCCAAGGAGTGTGTTGAGGTAAAATATACGGAAAAGGCATAGGCTGCTCGCATACATCTTACGTTAGGTTAACGCAGATGGAACTCCTCGGCGGCCCTGAGCACCGGACCCTGGTCCCTCCAGCGCCGCGCCGCACAGCCTAGGCTCCGAGTCCCTGACGTCAGCGCTCGCCAGGCGATGCTCCTCACGTGGGTGATGCAGCCCGTCCTCTCGCGAGAAGGAGCGAGAAGGAGCGAGTCGGCTTCTTCACATCCCGACCCCAATTCCCACCCCCACCCCCCACCCGCCCCCGACAGCGCCACGAGTGCTCCCACCTGCTGAGAAACGGAGGTTGGCCGTGCCCGGGGCCTTCTGGGAATCGTAGTTCTGGGCTGGATGAGGCTCGCCAGCCTCGCCCCATCCCCTTCTTACGCATGCGCGGCTCCGGGCTGGCCCCAGAGGTTGGGAGCCTTTGTCAAGCCCGGATGGGAGGTGAGTGGGGTTCGGAGGCCGCTTTTCAGCGCTCGGCTCCGGTGGCGGCCCCCTGGGGAGCAGTCTGTGCCGAGCCGGGGCTGGAGCGCGCATTTGTGGAAGGGGCCTCGAGGGCGGACCATGAGCCCATCCCCTCCCGCTCCGGCCGGACTCCCTCCGGCGGCTGCCGCCTCCCGGGGACGCGGGTGCGAGCGCGGTGCTGGCGGGCGCGACGGGCGGGGCGCGGGCCGGCGCGGGCTTCAGAGAGAGCCCGAACCCGGCGCCATCTCCTCCAAGCTGCTCGGTCCCCGCAGGTACAGTGCCGAGCGGCCGGAACAGGCATCCGAGGATCGGTCTGGGGGACCTGGCCCCCCGCGGGATCCAGGTGCCGACATCCCGGGACCGAGGAAGAAGCGGGGCCTGACCTGACCCGGCCTTTCCGCAGCGCCCCGAGGGCCGGCCGGCGGGAGGACGGGGCTTCTCGCTGTGACGTGCTGAGAGGTCCAGATTGAGGAGCGGGGAGACGGGAGCTCCGAATCTTCGGAACCGTGAGGATTGGGGATCATGGAGGCAGATTGGGCCGAGATGCCCGAGAAGAGAGGTGAGAGTTGCGGGGATGTTGGACTGTGTGTGGAAGGGGCCCTTCCTCCCCGAAAGGAAATGGGCTGCCCCCGGGGAGGTGGCCCTTGGCGGGCGGCTCTGCCAGTCTCCTTTGTCTGGGGCATGGCTGGGCTCCTTGCATGAGAATGCAGGGCTTGGTGTGGGGGACCCCCTCTCCCCCTGAGCTGATGCACAGTGGGTCCTGGAAAGCCACCCCAAAATGTTAGCAGCTCAGGCCAGAGCACAGCCTCAGTCACTTTTTCTCCCACGTTCTTTTCACCCAACTGTCAGTGAGTCTGAGAACGTAGCTTATTTGGCTGGCAGAAAATATCTCCCCACATCTGTTACTCCCGTGGCACAACAATCCTATTATGTCAGTCGCGCAAATACTGCTGTTTTGCATCGTAGAGAACAGGCGCAGAGGTCGGTGATTGACTAGCCCGGTCTTTCTTGAAGTTTGCTCTGTGACCTCATGTCAGCCTTTTCTAATGGACTCAGTAGAAAATGTTTTCTCCTGACCCATGGCCTGCTCATTAGATTTCTGGAGTGCACCTCAGACCCAACTACTAGTAGCAATTATTAGGAAGTGGAATCTAGTGATCTACATTTAAATAAGCTTGCAGGGTGATTTTTGAGAACTGAGCCTATTTTTCTTATATTAATTTAAAGTACATTAAGCTTGGAAATAAACTGGCTTATCCTCATTTCTAGATTAGAGAGTGCCACCTGCCAGTAGGTGTTATGTCCAAGTGGCAACGTTCCTGGACTTTCTCCATGACCCCAGGGTCAAGGGTTGTCTGGGCTGCCTTCAGGTGCAGTATTTGCGGGAGCATCATTCCTAGAGGGAGGAATTTTTGTCTTGTAAATCTGAAGCACAACATAGATTTAGATCCCACAATTACCGCTTTCTTGCCCGTAGCTACGTCTTTCCAGGAGTCTTTCTATTCCCAAGAGAAGAGCACAGAAAAGGGAGAAGTGGCAGCTCTCCGCCTCACAGCCAGATCCCAGGTGAGTCTGTACTGATTATTGAAATTCCACCTTATTTCTCAGAGTACAGGCGCACCCTTCTTTTTGATGTCAAGTTCCTTTGTCTACTAGAGCCCACCTGGAGAGCTGAGTTCTAATCTAAGACTACTCGGGTGGCTAATGGACTCAGTAGAAAATGTTTTCTGCTAACCCGTGGCATCTTCTCCATCTAGTTATACTTATTGTCAGTCACCAGGCAGGTAAGGAGCATAATTACCCTTCTTTGCCTGTTGTGCTAGTTGCTGAGCTTGGTAACGTAGGAAACTATTTTAATAGAAAATATGGGGCATATCTTAATCTTTAGTTGATTATTCAGGATTCTTTTGTATTTTAGTTGTAATTCCAATTTGGTCCTGGGAGCGTGTCTGTGTAGCATCCACTTACTCTGCCGCCATTTTTAATCTTCGGGGTATATCTTAAAATTTATGTTTCTGCAAGGGAATCAACATACACATGACTGTTATGTAAGAAATTAAGAAAGCACCTTTCTTTAGAGCTGAAATGAGTTATGAAAATAGTAAGTGCTCAAAAGTTCAGAAGAGCACTTGAATAGGAAAGCCTATGGAAGGCTTAACTTAAAGAGTTAAAATCCAGCCCTCCAAGATGATGAATGCACAAGTTTAGAAAGTGAAACAATTTTCCAATCTGTCTTAACAAAGTCAAATATTAAGAATTAATTTAAGTGGTGGTTGACCTAGCTGGTTTGGCTTAATGGGTAGAGTGTTGGCCTGGGGACTGAAAGGTCCCGGGTTCAATTTCGGTCAAGGGCACATGCCAGGTTGTGGGCTCGATCCCAGTAAGGGGTGTGCAAGAGGCAGCTGATTAGTGATTCTCTCTCATCATTGATGTTTCTATCTCTATCTATCCCTCTCCCTTCCTCTCTGAAATAAAGAAAAAGAAAAGAAAAAATTTAAATGGTGGTCGTACTATATGGGTGATTCATGTATTGGTCTTTCAACGTTTTGGATGTTTGAAATTTTTATTAAAAGAAGTTAGGTAAGAGAAAAGAGCTCTTCATGATGTGTGTGGCATGCCACAACCCACGATTCCTGAATTAGCCTTTTTCTTTGCTACTGTGATTCCATGTGTAAAAAGTCCATATTGTGCATTGCTACTGTTTGTAAAAGTGACTTCTTGGGGTCCTTATATACTTGCCTGTCTTCATTGGTTTCTCAACTGCCTTACATTAGTATTGAAGACTATGAGTCAAGAAGCTTTAAGTTGCAGATGATAAAAGCTCAACTCAAACTGATGTAAGGGAAAGGTATTTATTGGCTATCATGAATGAAAAATCCAGGTCTAACTAGAAATAGAGCTCAAGTAATAACATTAGAACCCATTTCCTCCATTTCACTGACTTCTTCTTTTCTCTCTGTGGGTTTTCCTCTCAAGCAAGTTTTCTTCCTAGTGCTGGCCCCTACCACATCTAGGCTTACAGCTTCCCAGGCTGAGGATCCCAGACAAAGGGCAGCTTCCCTCCTGGTCATTCCAGCAGAAGTCCAGGGGTTAACTCTTTGACGGCTATTAGGCCCATTCTTGGACCAATTTGGACAGGCCTATGGAATATACCTGCTCACACACACGGAAGCACACATACCACCATGAGTCAGAGACACAGTGAATCCTACCTGAACTCCCTGGCCAGCATAGTAGCCAAGGAAAGTCCAAGTACAAGTGCCAGAGGAACACTTTGCTGTTAGATTCAAGACTGTTAGAGCCTCGGATAGATTAAACCTTTGATGGAAATTTTTAAAACTTTTGTCCTTTTTGCATTGCATTAGGTGTGGTGTGATGCTTTGCCTGGACTGTGTTTTGTATTTCGTGTATTCAATTTTTTAAAAGTATTAAAGTTTTAATTCTGGTCTGGTTGTAACCAGGTGAACAGCACAAACATATGTAAATGTAAAAGTAATATTACTTCCTCCTCAAATTCAGTCCCCTTCTTCTCCCTACTGAGGGTAACAGTTTGATTTCCCAGTATATCTCTCCATATGCTCTTGGTGAACTTGCGCTACTATATTCAGACATGTAATGTTTCCTTTGATTTCTCCCACTGCCAGTCCCCAACTTTTGGTGTTTTTAGGAGTGTTATTGTATAAACAGGTTTTGGCTTTTTTTAAGGGAAATTAATTCACCCGGCCAGTGTGGCTCAGTTAGCTGAGTGTTGTCCCATGCACCAGGAGGTCACTGGTTTGATTCCTGGTCAGGACACATGCCTGAGTTGGGGGCTCAATCCCCAGTAGAAAATGAACAGGAGGCAGCCAATCCATGTTTCTCTCTCTCTCTCCCTCTCCCTTCTCTCTGAAATCAATAAAAAAAAAAAAATTTACTTTTTTTTTAAAGGGAAATTAACTCATTCGCATTAATATGATTGTATGTTTCAAATTTTTTTTGCCATGTGATTTTTATAGTTCTATTTACTATGCTTTTCTTGTTTCTTTTGTGTGTGTTTCTGTCTTTCGTGCATTGGTTTGCAGTTGTGTCCCGATTTTTTTCTTCTAATCGTCTGGAAGTTAATTTTCATTGAGTGTCAATTTAGCTGTGGATATGCAGGCTGTAAGATCTCAGTCATTTTTCCTCAAAATGCCTTGTCTACTTAGAGATTTACATTTTATTTTATTTTCCAAGGATGATTGTTGTATGTTTTTAAGTCTCAGATTATTTCCGTTTTTGAAAACTATTTTGAAATAATTTAAGGCTTAAAGAAAATGTAAATGGTAGAAAGATTTCTTACATACTAAGGTTAGGGTTAGGATTTACCCTCCATTCATATTCTCCAAAAGTTAACACTTTACCTCACTTTATTCTTATTTTCCAAAATCAGGACACTAGCATTGATACAGTACTACAACCTACTGACCTTATTTAGACCTCCCAGCTAACCTATTGTTCTTGTCTCCCCCCCCTTTAATTTCTGCTTTTATCCTGTAATTCTTTGTTTCTCTTAGTTTGTTGTTCTTTCTCTAACTTGACCTGTATGCTTTGCTAATTTATTTGCATTATTTTTTAATGAAACGGAAGTGTTTAAAGCTATGAAATCACCTCTGAGTACAGTTTTAGTGATTTGGCATTGGTTTTGCATTTATTATTTTGACATTCGGATGTTTTTTTCAATTATCAGTTTTTGCTCTGTTCTATTTATGCTTGGAATCTATTTAAATTTACTTTGTTACTTTTGCAAATGCTTCATGAATGTTTAAATAGGTGTTTTCTATCCAGTTAAGGCATTTGAAATATATTTATTTCAATAACCTTGGAATATTATTCACATTCTGTATGGTTTTATTTTAAAAGGCATGTAATGCCTTGGCTGGTATGGCTCAGTTGGTTGGAGTGTCGTCCCATGCACCGGAGGTCACGGGTTCATTTCATGGTCAGGGCACGTATAGGAGGCAAGGGATCGATGTGTCAGTAGCACATCAATGCCTCTCTCTCTCTCTCTCTCTCTCTCTCTCTCTCTCTCTCTCTCATGCTCTCGCTCTCTCGCTCTTGCTCTTTCTCTCCCTTCCTCTCTAAAAAGTAAAAATAAACTTCATATTCTTTAAATAAATAAACAAAAAGGCATATAATAATACTTATATGTGTTCACCTCCTTACAGTTTTGTATTTTTTTTGTCTTATAGAAACTTAATTCTATGGTATTTACACATAAACCTCAGTTCTTTCTGTTCCCTTACTCAATCTGTTGCCATCATTTTTCAGTTACTGCTTTTGCTTTAAATTATTTCCGTGCTTAATTGGATTTGGTGCTCACTGCCTGTCATTTCATTCCATGAGTTATCCACTCACAGGGTCTGTATTTCAACTCATCTTCTGATTGGCTAGATTGATTCTTCAAGTTTTTATTGAGGACGCGCAAGGAGAGTTATGCAGACAGGCTTTTTTCCCTCCTCTATTTTGTTTACTTTGCCAAACTGCAGCGTCAACTCATTAGTTCATGTTTTATTTTTAACTCTTTATTCCCCAGAAAAGTGACGTCTCTCAATGGAGAAACTCTCATATTGAACCTAGCAGAGCGCGCCTGGCACATAACTGATGCCAGTGGCTTTACATAGAATATTCAGACTCTGACCACTAGTAGAACACTTGTCATTTATCGCTGTCACTTTAGATGTACTCGGTCGCTCTGCTCCAGGGCCACCAGAACTGCGGGGGGGAAGGGATGCTGTCAAGTGAAAGATGGTGAACAGAAGTATGTTTTGTGTCTTAGGCGTCTGTGACATTCAAGGATGTGGCCATGGACCTTACCCCCGAGGAGTGGGGGAAGCTGGATCCTGCACAGAGGGACGTGATGCTGGAGAACTATAGGAACCTGGTCTCGCTCTGTAAGGACGGCTTCTCATTGTGACTCTGCAGTCTGCTCAGGGACAGCATTCTTTATTGACAGTGAAATGGCTTCACAAAGCCTTCGCTTTTCCATTCAGGAGTCATAAAGTCTGAATCCTGTTGGACCCAGAGACAATCTATTCCTGTTCTAGGTTCTTGGTGAACTGCCTATGCTTGTTTTGTATTAGGATTTTTTGGATTCAAGTGACAGAAACCTAATTCACACTAGCTTAGGGGGCAGGGAGTCTTCTTTTTTTTCCATGGATTAAAAAAAACACCATATTTATTGTAAGTTAAGTAAATTAATCTGTTTTTTTAAAGAGATAACATTTTCCTGGGTATCTTCTGGAATTGAGTAACCGTTGATCCTGCCTAATTTTTTTTTTTCAGATGGTTCTGTTTTCGTTTTCCCCTTACCCCTAAGTGCAGTGCTTACCCCTAGAGAGGGCAAATTACTTTTTAAGGTATTTCTCTTCTTTGAAGTTTGTGGCCTTACGAATTTTCAACTAAAAGCCCACATTAACAGCTTGTCGATACTGATATGGGATAAGTACAACCTCACTTCCTAGAAATCTGTCATTTCTAAAGTCTGTCCTCAGCATGTTACCCCCCAGCGGTTGTGGTCTACTTAAAGTTGTGCTTTTCATATGCGCAGCTCAGGACTCGAAAAGATTGGATGGTATTTGTATATAGATTTTGGTGCTCCTCCATAGTTACTTTCTGTATTGGTAGTCCTTTGATAGAACTAAATTGCACTTTCTCAGCAGCAGTAAGACTTTTGCTTTTTACTTGTACTTGATTGCCCCACACCGTGATCTGGAAGTATCCTCAAGGTGAATATGAATACTACAACGTATGTTTGCTTCTGTACTGTAGCCCAAATGTTATTGCTCATCTCTGCCTTCAAAATGTGGCTTTTGAAGTTAAATTGGGTTATTTACCTGTCTTTCTACAAAACAGTTAAATCCATTGGCATATTGATGGGAGGTGGGAAAGATGAGGTGTTTTTTATCTGATTAAGCTTGCTCTTACCTAGGCATTGTGAACCTGGATTAAGTGTGGACTTATAAATATTTCTGTCTTCCTTCAGTCATAATGCTGGGCCTCATCTGTATCCCTACCTTTCCTCCAGGGGTAGATACTTCTCCCAGCTGCACTGGGTTTCCACCACTTTCCTCAGGTAACAGTGCTGGAGCCCATCCCCTGGCGATGAGGCTTCTGTTAATGAGGAGAGGTGGGTTTAGGTAGAGTTTAGGTATTGGATTCCATTCCCCACGTGGGAAAAATCTTGATTCAGGGAATCAAATATATAACCAGGAATTTCTTTCTTTTTTCTTTTTTAAATCCTGTGGCTTGGCTTTGCCCTACTGGCTTTATTCCTAGGGTCTCCCCATGTGGCAAAGATGGCCTTTAGTAGCTCTAGGGTTATATTCTTCTTCCAATTAGAGAACTAAGGGAAAAAGGTAGTGCTTCTATCCTAGGAGTTTCAGCAAAGAGGGTCACATGTTGATTAATGAAACAACGACTAGAGCCAGAGAAATAGGTTACTCTGGGCAGTTTGGAGCCTGTGTGTACCTGTGTGCATGTGTGTGCACACACGTGCACAAGTGCATATATGTGTTTGTATGGATGTGGTAAGAACTATGTTAGCCCCTCCCTACCTCATGTAATAAATTCCCTACGAAAGTGGGTTCTAGTAGCTAAAGAAGGAAGAAAGGAAAAGCAGAAGGCAAAAATTCTAGTTACCACAGTCACAACGTGTGGTGCTGCCACTGGGGTCCTGTTTTCTCCAGTTCCTTCCCTAAGCTGAGGATTGGTCTGCAGCGTCTCTCTGGAACTTCCTCAGTGAAGAAAGATAAGTTCTCCTCTTTTGACAGGCACGAACACTTGTGTTTTCAAGTGCATAGAAACTCCTTACCAGGCCCAGATTCCTGCAGATATTTTAAGCTTCATGCGGAAGTCCATCTTCCCTCACTCCAGATCTTCCTGTAATTCCCGTCCTCTTTGTAGATCAGGGATTTGGCACTATGCTCTAGGGTAGATGTTTGCCATCACAAATAGCTATTAGTAAGTCCCATTTCTTCCTTCCTTTCTTTCCTTTGAGCAGGGCTTCCAGTTTCCAAGCCTGAGAACTACAATTTGGAGAATGGAAAGGAAACATTGATGCTTGAGAGAAAAGTCCCCAGAAGCAGCTATTCAGGTGAGTCAAATAGATGGGAGTCCTCAGAAATAATAGCCCCTCAGGACAGTGAAGAATAGGCACTTTTCGGTGCTTAGGAAAGACTATATTAGCAGTGTCTACATGCTTTATCGTATAATATAGGACCTATATAATAAAAGCATAATATGCAAATCGACCGAACAAGGGAACCACCAGTTGGCAGGGGGGCGGGGCCGGCGAGCAGGTGGCACCAGGCCAGCCACGGTGCATGCCAGTGGGCAGAGGGAGGGAATGGCGATGGGGCAGGGGGGGGGGGGAGCCCATCAGTGACCGGCGGCGGTGTGATGGGGTGCCCGTGCCTGCCAGCGCTGATCAGCGGCCCTGTCGCCTCCTGCAGAGTGGTCTGGCAGCAGCAGCAGTGGTGGGGTGATGGGGGTGGCGCCTTCCCCTGTTGTCCCAGTTGCCTCCCACAGAGGGAGGCCTGTGGCGGGGTGAGGGTGGGGCGGGGGGAGCACCATCCCCTGATCTGCCCGCCCCGTCACCTCCCACAGAGGGGTGCACAGGAGCGGGGGGACAGTCTCACAATCCAGGACCCCTCGGGGGATGTCAGGCCTAAACCAGCAGTCAGACATCCCTCTCGCAATCCAGGCTGCTGCATGCACCAATGACCATACTTTTCCTACAGGTGAAAGGCATCTTACTGTGGTATGGGCAGCTACATTTTTTTGCCCTAATTATAAAAAATAGTACATAACATGATCCCTTTGAGGCAGTAGTACCATTTTCCCCATCTTATGGGTGGAAAACTTAAGCAGAGAGAAGTTAAGTAATTAATTGGCTCTGTCACACAGTTATTAAAAGTGTCAGAATCAGGGTTGACCACAAAATGTGCAAGCTAGAGTCCATGCATGTCATCACTGCATCATCCTGTTTTTCAGTGTTAGAGTAGCCTTGCCAGGTTTTAATTTTTAAATCTAAGAACCTGTTCCCAGTATATAGGGTAGGGTCCCTAGGCCTGACCGGCGATCAGGTCCATCTGCAGGGCGACCGGCAGGCAGGGCGATGGGGTTGGGGGGCAGGGGGGCCCCCAGCTGGTGGTCTGGCACCATCCGCTGGCCCACCCCCCCCCAATCACCTCCCTCTCGGGGGGCAGTGTGTGTTATAGCCACCAGCCGTTCTGCCTTTCAGTCGATTTGCATATTAGGGTTTTATTATATAGGATATGTATATTTTTTTAATTAATTTCAGAGAGGAAGGGAGAGAGATAGAAACAGCGATGATGAGAGTTATTGATCAGCTGCCTCCTGCACGCCCTTTACTGGGGATCGAGCCCGCAACCTGGGCATGTGCCCTGACCAGGAATCAAACCTTGACCTCCTGGTTCATAGGTTGAAGCTCAACCAGTGAGACACACCAGCCGGGCTATTTTTAAAATATTTTAAATGAATATAGCAATTTAAATATATATAAAAGTTGAGAAAAAATCAAACACGCTAATATTTTGCTTCATTTTGCCTCTTTTTCTTCTTTTTTTCAATATAAATAAAAATATAACTACAGGTCTATGAATTTTCACAAGTTGAACACAGCTCCCAAGTCAAGAAACAACCTTTCCAGCACCCCTAGAAACACCCGTGTGCCCTCGTTAAGTCACTGCCCTCCTTCCTAGAGTAACCTTATCCTAACTTCTAATACCCAGATCAGTTTTGATTTAGTTTTATATAAACAGAATCATATTGTATATACTCTTGTGCCTGACTTCCTTCACTAAAGATTACTGTGAGATACATTCATTTTGTAACATTTAGTTATAGTTCATTCTCGTTGTTGTACAGTCTTTCATTATGTCAGTATACTAGGTTTTTGAGTAGTTCCAGTTTTTAGCTATATGAGTCATGCTGCTTATGTATATTCTCTCTTTTGATGAGCACATGTGTGCATTTCTGTCGGATATATACATTAAGTAGAATTGTTGGGTTGGAGGGTAGACCATGTTCACTTGTGGTAGATATTGTCACAGATCCCCAAAGCACACTGCCAGTGTGGCTCGGGCAGTTAGAGCGTTGTCCCGAGCACCAAACGGTCGCAGGTTCAATTCCAGTCAGGGCACATACCCAGGTTGCAGGTTCAATCAATGCTTCTCTCTCACATCAATGTTTCTCTCTCTCTCTCTCCCTCTCTCTGTCCCTCTCCCTCTCCTCCTCCTTCTCTCTCTCCCTCCCACTCCCTCCCTCCCTCCCTCACTCACTCCCTTCCTCTCTCTCCAAATCAATAAAAACATATGCTCGGTGAGGATTTAAAAAATAATAAAGAATTTTTTAAAAAGGAAAGAAAGAAAATCCAGCCTCACCCCCAGTATATAGTAGGAAAAGGGAGGAGGATTTTATGGTCTCTCCCGATACTTGTGGCTGTTCTGATACTACACCAAAACTGAGCAAGTGGCAGTTTCTTAAAGATTAGTTAACAGTGTGGCATCTGAAACTATATCCATGGCTTTCACACTCTTACATTAAAACCTATTGATATTTTCACCCTCGCTGGGTTGGCTCAGTGGCTAGAGCGTCAGCCTGCAGACTGAAGGGTCCCAGGTTCAATTCTAGTCAAGGGCACTTACCCAGGTTGCAGGCTCGATCCCCAGTAGAGGTATACAGGATGCAGCTAATCAATGATTCTCCCTCATCATTAATGTTTCTATCTCTCCCTTCCTCTCATATCAATAAAAATTAAAAAAACCTATTGATATTTTGGAAAATACTGGTCCGCTGAGTTATGGAGATCTTCCAAATATTGGCACATTACATTATACAATATTTAAAAAATAACAGTCCTGGCCAGGTAGCTCAGTCGGTTATAGCATCATTGGATACACCAAGATTGTGGGCTTGATCCCCAGTCAGGGCACATACAAGGACTAGCCTATAAGTAAGTGGAACAACAAACTGATGTTTCTCTCTTGCTCTCCCTCTCTCAAATTAATAAAGGTATTTTAGACAGTTTTCGATGTCACCACTGACATTGTCAGAAAAGTCTTCGGAAGACCAGCTGTCGGCCCCTGACTAGCTATCAGGCTATCAATGGTAGTTAAATGTTTTTCAAAATTGTAATTTATTCCTGGAAGCTCAAATTTTATCAAACACTGTCAGTTGTTTTTCTTGACGTGACAGGCTCACTTAGTTCATCTTTAGAAAATATATGCCAAATATCCAACATGGTAACATAACTTGTCTGTCAGTTGTTCTTTCCAGAAATAAGTGGTCCATGAAAAAAATGGCTAGTTCAGCTCACAACTCAAACTGTTTCATGAGTGGTTATCTTCAAGACAACCATGATACTGTGACATGACCAGAATTGCTTTATGAATATGTCCTATTTCATCAATCCAGAACATTAAAAAGGCATGTTCTCAAGGTTTGAAGTTTTTAAAAGTTAATAATGTTTACTGTTGTCCAGCTGGAGTGACTCAGTTGGTTGAGAATCATCCTGTACACCAAAAGGTTGCAGGTTTGATTCCTGCTGCAGGTACCTACCTTGGGGATTGTGGGTTTGATCCCCAGTAAGTTAACTGATTGATGTTTCTCTCTCTCTGTCTCTGTCTCGCTCTCTCTCTCTCTCTCTCTCTCTCTCACAGCATGTCCTCAGATGAGGATTAAAAAATAATAACAATAATACTGTTTACTCAGGCTTTTTTTAATATATTTTTTTTTATTTCAGAAAGGAAGGGGGAGAGAGAGAGAAACATCAGTGATGAGAGAGAATCATTCAGCCAGCTTCCCCCTGCATGCCCCCTACTGGGGATCAAGCCCACAACCCGGGCATGTGTCCTGACCGGAATCAAACCCGGGACCCTTAAGTCCACAGGTCGATGCTCTATCCACTGAGCCAAACCAGCTAGGGCTACTCAGACATTTTTAAGTGAAACTGGTTTGTCTGTTTTTTAACCAAGAGTACATAATAGGAAGAATACAATAACTACTAGTAAGTTTGGAGTCATTGTCCTGATTCATGCTAAGTCATGAGCAGTTTTACCACCATTTCTTTTGCAACATCAATGCAAATGTCATGGCACTGGAAAAGGTAGCATGTAAGTATTATTTTGAAAATAGTTTTGAACTTACATACTTTCAGGGGTCCATGGACCGCACTTTGAGACCTCTACCTATACTAACCTTATATCAATTTATATTTTATATGTAGTACTTATGCTGTGTCAGAGTTTTAAGTGCTTTATAAATATTTTCATTTAATGCTTATTAAGAAAGATGTTTTTATTTCTCATGAAGTAGGTATTATTATTGCCCCATATTACAGATAACTGAGTAAAGAGGTTAAATAACTTGCCCCAGGTCACACTGCTAATAAGGGCAGAGCTGGGGTTAAATTCGTGCATTCTGACTCCAGAGTCCATGCTCTCATCCACTGTGCTTTTCTTGAATGTCCCTCTCACCTCAGGGCTTTTGTACATAGTGCTTCCCTCTACCTGAAGCACTCAACTCAGTGCTTTTATATCTATTACCTGAAATACTCACCTGAATCCCAACCCCACTTTCATTTCAGTTGTGTTTTACTTCCTCGGGGAATTCTCCCCTTATCTCCCTAGGTTCCCTTTCTTATATTTCATAACATCACTTGCCTGTTATTACTTAGTACTTACCACAGGTACAATTTTATATGTATTTGTGAAATGTTAGACTAAATTTTCTCTCTCTCTCTCTCTCTCTCTCTCTCTCTCTCTCATATGGGGACTTTGTGTGTGTTTTTGCCCAGTGCCTAGAACAGAGCCTAGTGTATGTGGGTAAGAGAATAGAGAAATGAATGAATAGAATTCATTTGGCTGTATGGAATGAGGGACAGATCTAACTTAATTTTTTTCTAAATGTTTAATCGGTCACAGCACCATTTTTTGGAAAAACAAATTATCTTTAGTTCACTGACTACAATATCACCTTTATACTGTTATATTCTCTATATACTTGACTTAATTTCTGAATTTGCTGTTCTGTTTTATTGATCTATTTATTCCTTTAAATCACACCCTTAAGTTGTTTTAGCTTTATGGTTTTATATTGGATATAAAAATTCTACTATATTTATATTAGATATATGTAGAGAAGTCTAGCTTCCATCCCTGTCCTCTGCTCTGTTACTTTCCACATAGGTAACCATTTTTATTGATCTGTCTTTGGTTTTGGAAAATATAACCAAATATTATATATATAAAAGGTTAAGTGACCGGCCAACCGGCCAGTAGGTATGACACGCACTGACCACCAGGGTGCTCAACACAGGAGCTGCCAAGCAACAGCAACTTTGTAGAGTGCCCTCTTGCACTCCAGGACCCCTCAGGGGATGTCAGACTACTGGTTTCAGCCTGATCCCCGCAGGCCAGGCCAAGGGACCCCACCTGCCGGAGGGACCCCGCTCACTCCGCAGAGGCCCTTCGAGCACTGGTGCCGCCTCAGGTGCGGCCGGCCGGGGTGGGACCATGACAGGTTGGCTCCAGGGCATGTCCAGCCTCTCTCACCCAGTCCCGCCCCGCCGGCCACCTTCTAATTAATTTCCTTTCAATGTGCACGAATCTGTGCAGCAGGCCTCTAGTGTCTAAATATTTGTATCTCCCCTTCTTTCCCTACACAAAAAGTAGCAGACTATGCACACTAATTTGCAGTTTGCTACTTTTGTGTAGAGAAAGAAGGGGAGGTACAGATATATAGACATAATTGTATCCTGAAGATCACTATGGCAATAAAGATCTTTCTTATTTTTTAAAACTTGCATAGTACTCCATCGTTTATTTAATCAGTTCTCTGTAGTAGGATATATGATAGGATACCAAGTTTTTGCTACCTATATTAGTGTGGTAATGAATATTCTTGTTTCATGTATAATTTTATATATTTGCTATTATATCTTTAGGAGCTCATAGGAGATTTTTTATCAGGTGTGTGTTATAAAAGCATTGTTAGGGAAGATTAAACTAGAAATAGAATGCATATTTGGATATGAGTAGGATTGGTTAACTAAAAATTTAGAAGTAACTGTCCTCAACACTAAGGTGATAACTGCCTGGATTTTTATTACTGCAGTAGTATTTTGTATGCACATTTCCTGCTGACCCAGGGATAGATTGCTTCATCTGCTTCCCTCCTTCTTTATTTCTAGTCATCTTTCCCCCATTGACTCTCCTGGATGTGGTCTCTTCATTTTCTCTGCATATACTCTTCATCTCCCTCCATTTGCCTCTCTTTGCCAATCATCTCATGAGTCAATTCCACTTATTCATTGAAGCCATGCTTTTTGCCTTCATTAACTCTTACCTGTTACAGAACTGCCTTTTCATTGAGCACAGAAAATGAAAGCAATTTGCATTTTCAATTTTTTTCAGACTCAGAGTGTAGACCTAAGAGCAAGGATTCAACTTCAGTGCAAGATTTTTCCAAAGAAGCATCATGCCAGGTTGCAATAATAGACAGACTGACAGGAAATAGTGTCTGTGATACCAACTTGAAAGCAACTCTTGAATGTGAAAATTTGTTAGAGAATCAGCAAGGAAATCAGGGGAGACACTTAAGAGAAATGTTCACCTACATTAATTCACTCCCTGAAGAAAGAGCTCATGATCATGATGTATATTGGAAAAACTTTAGTCAGAAGTCTGTCCTTCTCACTCAAGACAGAGTTCCAAAAAGATCCTATGCCTTTCATACACTTGAAAAGAGATTGAAACAGAAATCAAGTTTAAGGAAAAAGAGAACCTATAAAGAGAAAAAACCTCATAAATGTAATGATTGTGGTGAACTGTTCACTTACCATTCAGTGCTTATTCGACACCAGAGAGTCCATACTGGAGAGAAACCCTATAGCTGCAATGAATGTGGGAAATCTTTTAGCCACAGAGCTAATTTAACTAAACATCAGAGAACTCATACTAGAATTCTCTTTGAGTGCAGTGAATGCAAGAAAGCCTTTACAGAAAGCTCGTCCCTTGCAATACATCAGAGAATTCACATTGGAGAGAGACCTTATGAATGTAGTGAATGTGGGAAAGGATTTAATCGAAGTACACATCTTGTACAGCATCAGTTGATCCATACTGGAGTGAAGCCTTACGAATGTAATGAATGTGATAAAGCTTTCATTCATTCCTCAGCACTCATCAAACATCAAAGAACTCATACTGGAGAGAAACCCTATAAATGTCAGGAATGTGGGAAAGCTTTTAGCCATTGCTCATCCCTGACTAAACATCAGAGAGTTCATACTGGAGAAAAGCCATATGAATGTAGTGAATGTGGAAAAACCTTTAGTCAGAGCACACATCTTGTTCAACATCAAAGAATTCACACTGGAGAGAAACCCTATGAGTGTAACGAATGTGGGAAAACCTTCAGCCGGAGTTCAAATTTTGCTAAACATCAAAGAATTCATATTGGAAAAAAACCATACAAATGTAATGAATGTGGTAAAGCCTTTATTCATTCATCAGCTCTTATTCAACACCAGAGAACTCATACTGGAGAGAAACCCTATAGATGTAATGAATGTGGGAAAAGCTTTAAGTGCAGTTCATCCCTCATCAGACATCAAAGAATCCATACACAAGAGCAACCATGAAAAATTATTAAATGTGAAGAAATGTAAGTTGGTTTTATCACTGTGTTCAAGAGTGTTTAGGTGGAAGAGCCTTAAAATGCTGCTTACAGACCAATTTGTATACATCTGATTTTACTTGCATAGTACATACATATTTTTGAGCCATAAACAAAATGTCCCTTATATCCATTGATTTAATAATTATGAAAGCTACTAGCCAGAGACTTCATATTTTGAGCCCTAATCCTTCCCTAATACCTTTTTTATGGATATTCAAGAAATCCTTAGGAATGGGTAGCAATATAATCGTTGTAGAATCCATTTTCTCCCTCTTTGTAAGGAAGTTCTTATTTGTTAGGTTAGGCAGAGGGTTCATATCCTTATCAGGAAGATACAGTTGTTCCTCTTTGAATCCAAAAATAGAGATCCAGATTTATCAATAGTTGTCATTTTTCCAGTGTCATTTCCTTTATATTAGCTATAAAAAGCTAAAGGTTAAGAGTTGAAATATGCTTTGTATTCCTTCCCTACCCCAAAGGCCACTCTCAAATTTGATGAACATAAAAAGAATTTATTTACAGCAGGTTCTAAGTTAGATTCACATGGATTCTGCTTGTAGACTTACTGGTAGATAATTGTGGTCATTCTGCTGTGTAGAACTTCATTTTTTACTTCCTTGGAAGTTGCCCTGAAGTAGAATGGGTCAAAATCTTAACTCTAGTTTTTGATCAAATCCTTCTTATCTTTGGCATTCACTGAATGAGTCACTGGTTTTCTATAATTACAGTATTAGGGATATTTTGTTCTTTACATTCTGCTTTCTGTAAACTATGCTTTGTCACTTTGAGAAAAAGCCACAAGGATGTTGAGGGTCTGAAAAGTTGATGGGTTCAATGTGTTATGTTTAGGATCCCAGTCAAGAAACATAACTGAAGCACCTGTGAGACGCAAGGACATATCTTTCTGTCAGATATGGAAAATCGCTCACAAGACAATGACTCACTTGAGGATAAACAGCTTTCCTCTATGAAGAAGTTGGCCATTTCTCTGACCTTCATGTTTACCCACATGGTTTGTTCCTATTCTGTCTACATGATGTATCCCAGAATCCTAAAGAAAATTGAAATTGCATAAAATCACATGATATATTGACATACTTACATGGGTGACCAAAGACCACTAATGGGATAAGGAACACAAAAGCACTCAAATATCTAGCAAAACACTATACAAATGTCAGGTTTTTTTTGTTACTCTGTTACATATTGTGTGAAAAGAAGTTTTAAAGTAGAGGAAAAAGTAGTTACAGATTTCTTCTTCCCTTCTAAATTCTTTTATGAACATTCAGCACCACCAGTCCATGTTTTGCCCCCTCCAAATTATCCCTGTGACATGTAATTGCCTCTCTGTAGACTTCTATTATTGAAGAAGAATAGGAGAATAAAATTTTTAAAAGTGGTGGTAGTAGAGAGCAAGATCACTAAGGATAGATTGAGCATAAATCCAGCAATGATGGATATCAAACAATGTGAAAGAAATGGGGCTGAAAAATTCTTGTAAAGAATTTTAAAAAACACATTGAAAGGGGTTGAGAAGATTGGGAAGGCTCAAGGTCTCAGAGGTCAGGGTAGGAGAATGGCTGATGAGCAAAATAAAAGAAAGGGAGCTCAACCCTTTTCATCACTTTAATATTCAGTATTGATCTAAAGCAGGAATTGACAAACTGGCCTGCACCCACAGACCAAGTTCATCTGCTATTTCTGTGAATGTTTAATTGGAATACAGCCACACACATTCACTTACATGTTTTGTTTGGCTATTTTATACTATAATGGCAGAGTTGAGTAGTTGCAGCAGAGAGCATATAGCCTGAAAAATCCTAAAATACTTAATATTTTTCAATATGTCAAATGCTTGAGTGAAAAATAAATGCATCATTTGGGGGCCAAAATTTGACTAACAAAATAACATCAACATGGGCTTTTCGAAGCTGGGTTTTAATTCTGCCATCTCTGTTTAGAATTATGTGGCCTTGAAAAGGACCTGGAACAATAAATTATATAGAGTCCTCTCTCCCTCTACCACATCCTCTCTCGATATGTGTACACACACACACACACATTTTAATGAAGTGACGTCTTAGTTCATTTGGGCTGCTATACAACATTCAATTATCACAGTTCTGGAAACTAGGAAGTCCAAGCTCAAGGCCCTGGCAGATTCGGTGTCTGGTGTGAAAGGGCATTTTTTGAGGGGACACAGACATTCAGTCTATAGCAAGTAACTAAGCATCCATCAGAAATTAAGAATGAGCATCTCCCACCCCTTCCATTTGCTGATTAAGAACTGTATGCATCCTGCTATCAGAGCATGATAGAGAAGGGGCTTCACTTTCTACTCTTGTTTCTATCTGGTACTGGACCTACACACTCTCCTTTAGACCTGGAGGAATCTGCTTTTTTGCCTTCTGAGTACCACTTAGCCAGGAGCTATCTGGTAGTTCCAAAGACTCAAGTTTGTAATCTAAAGGCAGTTTAAGTGCTGTTAAAGGATTTGCTCTGTTTTACTGAGAACTCTGGCCCTTTGCATTTTAGTATTTGTTCTTTTTATACCTGGTGTTCAATCTGACTGTTTGTACCTTAACATGAATCTCGGAAGTTTTAGCAGTCTGCTTTTCAAATATTTTTTGTTACCTATAAGCTAAATTTGACTGCTCTTATTGGCCCACTGTCAATAAAGATGTTTATATATTTATTGTCAGAAACTTTTGTAAATTGCTTTTAAATTCTCCTAATTTAATCTTATTTTAAGAGATAAAGAAAGGCCAACCATAAAATATACCCATATTATTCAGGAAACCAATTACATTTCTAATTGTTCATCTGGGCTTCACAACTTCTGCAGACATAGATTCAGGAATACCCACCACAGCCCACGTATTTGCTAGAAGGTTAAAGAGTAAAGGAAGGATGTTTTTGTCAGAGTCTTCGGGCCAAGTACAGGCACCACACAGCAGGGGTAATAGGAGGAAAAGAGAGAGAAAAGTTAATTTCATATAAAAAAATACAGTTAAAACTAGGCAAGATAGGGTAAAAAACTGATTTAGTGTAAATTTTAAATTACATCTGGCTTTTAAGAAGATAATGTAATGTCACCCAAACGAATAAAAATGGTAGTATAAGAATACCAAACATTCAAATTGTTGGCAATTAACTAATTCAATTATCTATTAAAATTGTTTTATTTTCTCAGATGAGTTTTCACTTTTTAAAGAAATATTACAATAGGACTTGGGTTGGAAGCTCTTTGTCCCTGCTGTCTCCCTTTCCTTACCTAATTCTTTTTTAGGCCCCAACTGGGCAGTCTTGGGATCCAGAGCCAAATGAGCTACCCCTCACCCTTTGCCTTATATTAATTGTCAAGGCAAAGGGTGTTCTGTGATATGTAATGTGACATCTATGTGATTACCTTGTAGTTCCAATTAATGTCCTCAAAAAATTAAATTTTTTCATTGAATTGTTCTTTACATTTTCCAAAGTGTGTAATCACTTATTTTTTAACCTTTCACTTAGAAGGGGTTAATAGCAGGTTCATCCATAAACCAGACAATCTGCCCTTAGATTGAGTTGACTGTACATAAAATGTTCATACCTCACCCCCAGCAGTTCATCCATAGTACATTATCATCACGTCAGAAAAGGAACCAGGCTTCCTCAGAGAAATGGCTGATCCTAAGTCTGAGTGAAGGCAGTTGCAATAAGAGCCTGAAACATCATGTTCCAGAAAATAAGGTGGTACTAAAAGAATGATGACAGTAGGTCACAGAGGCAAAGGAGCTAATTTGAACTAGCCTTCACTAACCAAGTCTGGTATAATTTGAGCACCAAAACAGTTAAGGCAGTAATGAATTATTAAACCTGTGTGTGTGTGTGTGTGTGTGTGTGTGTGTGTGTGTGTGTGTGTGTGGCACGGGGGGAAGCAGTGCATAAGTTTACATTGATAATTAGAAGTAAATAAACAAGGGAAAATAGAGGGCCCTTGCTTACTTACAACAGAATGCCAGATGCAAACTGGTAAAAACGATGCTGAAAAATCACTATTTTGCAGCCATCACAATAAGATTCTGACAAAAATCAATCAATATGAATCTAAGGGGAAATTTTGATGAGGAACAGGATATTTGCATAGTATTGAGGTATCTTCGCCATAGATTACTTGTTACAATTGGCGATTGCAAGGAAAAAATAATTATGTAGTAATGATTTTTAAATTATTATATAATAGCCCTGGCTAGTGTGGCTCAGTTGGTTGGAGTGTTCTGTTCCCATAAAGCGGTGGGTTTAATTCCCGATCAGGGCACATACTGGGGTTGGAGGTTCAATACCCGGTCTGGTCACATATGGGAGGCAATCAATCTCTCTCTTGTCTTTCTCTCTTTCTTCCTCTCTCAAATCAATAAAAATATATCCTCAGATGAAGATTAAAAATAATTAAATGCATAATAATATAAAAGAAACACCTTGATTTGCATGATCAAATTAATATGAACAAAAGGTAGATAGCCATTGTGCGCCTCAGATTTGATCCTATGAGGACACAACATGAGTTATGTGATATTAGGGAATGCATAACTGGAATTTGATCATGAGAAAACATTCAACAAACCTCAAAATGAGGATTATTAAAAACAAAAGGACTGTATTCAAAAATGTTAATGTCATAAAAGACAAAGACTGAATACCTAGTCCACATTAAAAGAGACATGAGAACTAAGAGGGAGAATACTGTAAAGGTCACTATTGGTTCAGTTTTTCAAAACTTCAGTATAAGCAGTAGAGTGGGTAAATGTATTGCATTAATGTTAAATTTACTGAAGTTCATAACTGTGCCATGGTTATGTAAAATAATATTGAGAAGTGCACACTGAAGTATTTAGGGGTAAAAAAGTATAATGTGTGCAATTTTCTCTCAAATTATTGAGAAAAAAATATGCATAGAGAGAAGAAATGCTAAAACAATAAAATGTTAACAGTAAGTAAATCTTGCTAAAGGGAACGTGGATAGCTACTTCTAATACATCTTTTCTGTACGTTTCAGGTTATTTTCAAATAACAAAAAAAAAAGTAAATAAACATATATTAAGATCCAAAATTAGACCTCTTCGATAACATAAAAATAAGAGGTAAAAAGTATGCACAATACGAATATGTTAAGTGACTCTTTTTTTCTTAAAACTTATCTAAGTATCCAAAGATTACCCATTAAGAAACTTTGTTTTCGTCCTAGCTGGGTGTTCAGTTGGTTGGAGAGTTGTCCGGATACACCGAGGTTACAGATTTGATCCCCATCAGGGCGCTTACTAGAGTCAACCAATGAAGGCGCAGATAAGTGAATCAATCAAATCAAGCTCTCTCCCCCTAAAATAAACAAATAACATTTTTAGTGAGAGAATATATTTTCACATTTAACTGAAAAAAGTCACAAGAATTTATATCAAGAATTTATTTTGTTACGTTCGCCAGGCCTCACAGGGTAAGTGGCGGAGGCTCGTACCCCGCCCTGCTGGTTCCTGTCTTTATCGCCTTTCCGGACGGTTCCCCTCCATTCCCTCGAGTCTCAGCCTCTCCACCCCACGTGCAGCACGCAGTGCCACTGTGCCCAGGTGCCTCCGCTGTTCTCAGTGTTGGCACTTGGTGGGGTCAGGTAGTGGCAGATCGCTTCCCGTCAGCCCGGTGGGTTTGGCCTTGTAGTATTTTGCTCCGCAGGGCTTTTGGTTGCTCATAATGGGGAACAAGGGACTTGGGGGAGGGGAGGGGGGGGTAAGGAACTTGGGGGCATAAAGAGTGTCACTGTCCTACAGAAGGTGACTCACCGGGTGTCACATGGGAGACGCCTCTTCTAC